CCGTGGAGGCGAGGGTTGGGAAGGGAGGGCATGAGTGCCATGGATCAACGAAGGTAACGGAAACATATGAAGTTTCGGACGGTGAAGAGAGGGGAGGGAGGGCGCAGGGGGGGGAAGCCTGATCCGCCGACCCCTTGTGGGTCTCTAGGCGTGTGAGATAGTTCCCCCCCCCTAACCCCCCCCCTGGGACCCCAAACCGGAGATTTGACCCCCCCCCCCCGGGCCGCAGACGAGCGCACCACGGGGCTCTTTTGGGCCCAAAAGGGGATCAAGACGGGCCAAGAAGGCCCCAAGACTCCTCCAAGACGGCTCACGAGGGCTCCGAGGCGCCAAACGAGCGCTCCCAGACGCCCAAGATGCCCCCAAGACGAGCCTAGAGGCCTCCAAGACGGCCCAAGAGGCCTCCAAGAGCAGTCCTCAGAAGGGCCGAAGCGCCGAAAATCGTCAAATTCCTATGGGAAAACGTACATTTTGATCATATACTACTTGTCGGCCTTCACGGCGTTGACGACGGTCCCAGAGCACCCCAAGACCGCCCCGAGAGGCCCCCAAGAGGCGCCCAAGTCGGCCCAAGAGGGCGCCAAGACGGCCCAAGAGGCCCCCAAGACAGCCCAAGAGGGCCCCAAGACGGCCCCAAGAGGTGCCCAAGAGGGGGAGCCCGAACCGACAATCCGAGCCTTCCGCCCCAAGACGGCCCCAGAAGGCCCCAAGACGCCCCAAGAGGCCCCCAAGACGCCCACAAGAGGCCCCAAGAGGCCCCCAAGAGGTTCCAAAACGGCCTCACAACGGCCCCCAAGAGGCTTCGAAACTGCCTCCAAGAGTCCCGCGAGAAGCCCCCCAAGAGACCCCAACGATCACCGCACAAGTCTCATATCAACAACCCAGGCACGGTGGCGGAGTTGCGTTTGCGCACACACAAGGATTCGCGCTCTCGAAGCCAAAATTGCTCCAAAACGGCCCAGGATGGCTCCAAAACGGCCCAAAATGACTCCAAGACGGCCCAAAACAGTTCGAAGACGGCCCAAGATGGCCTCAAGATGGCCCAAAAGGCTTTCACTATCGCCCACGAGGTATCCAAGAAGATCCCCAAAACATCTGAAAGAGGCGCACATTACGCATTTCAGTACATTTCCATTGCGTTGTTGAACATGTTTGCACTTGTTGCCTTTCCCGGCTTCCGTCGGCTCACGTAGCCCCAAGAGCCTCCAAAATCGCTCCACGGCGCCCCAAGAGGGCCTCAAGACGGCCCCAGAGAATCATAACACGGCCCTGGACGCCTCCCAATTCGGCCTAAGACGACCCCAAGACGGCAAAACCTGCCTCCAAATTGGTCCCAAGCTGGCGCAAGACGCCTCTGACCCAAAACCCATAACCCAGAGCCTTGTTTCTGTGTCCCCTTCCTCCTTTTCCTCCTCCTCCTCCTCCTCCTCCTCCTCCTCCACCTCGGCCGCCGGGTGGGTTCAAAACTGCTTTCCAAAGGTCCCCGAGAAGCGTGCCGCGAGATCCCTGTACACATTCAAAAAGCCTCTAACCCATAGCACATATCCCAGAGTTTCGTCTCTGTGCCCCCGTCCTCCTCCCCCTCTCCTCCTCCTCTTCCACCTCCTCCTCGCCCACTCCTCCTCTTCCTCCCCCGCCTCATCCTCTTCCTCCCCGATTCTTCTCCCCCCATCCTTCGCCTCACCCCCCATCCCTCTCTCCCCCGCCCCCCTTGTCCCCCCCCGCACGCGCGCCCCCGATCGGGCATCATTTGCAAGTCTTGCATATCAGGGTGCCTTTTTTTTGCATCGCGTGCGACGTTGGAGGGGTCCCCGGAGAACGCCGACTTCGGTAGTCTTCTCTTGCACGCGCCGCCGCACTGATACGCCTGGCAACTGCGGGCTGTGAACCCGAGGTTCTTGCAGCCTCCGCGCACCACTTTCGCTCCTTTCGCCGCTCGATGATCTTCCACTTGCTTATGCTTCAAATGTTTCGTGTCCGAGAACGCTTCATCATATGCCTCGGCTTTCCGCTTGCGATTCGCTGCCTCCGCACTCCCCCGTCGCACCTCTTTCTCTCGTTCTTCCCCGCATTTCCGAGAGAGCCTTTCCCCCGCAGCATCGTGCTTCTTCTGAGCTTCCGACATATCCGCCTTTTCATCATACAGCGACAGGCACTTACCGTTCGTACATCGCACTGCCCCGACGCTCTGATTCCACTTCGCGCTGTCTTTCCGCGAGTTCTGCTTGGCTTTGATACCGCTGCATTTCGCGCAGTACATGCCACCATGGCGCTGCCATGGTGGCATGTACATGCCGCCGCGGAGGCCCGCAGCCAGGTAAAACATATAATCCCTCGAGACAATGATGGCGAACACGACGACAATGAATATGACGAGGATGATACCGATGATGATGCTGATGATGATGATGCTTAGCAGGATGATGGTGGTGATGATAATGATGATGATGATGGTGATTATGATGATGATGGTGACGGTAATGATGATGATGGTGGCGATGGCCTCGGGCTGGTAACGTGCCTGGACCTAGCAATGCGAAACAAACCGCGAACGCCTTCTCGGTTCCCAAGCGTGTGAGACTCGTCCCCTCCACAGCCCCGAGGTTCCCCGTGCGGGCTCAGGGATGCCCCAAAAAACAACCCCGCCTCACCAAAGAAGTCAAACCCAGCAAGAAATATACGGGCCCCACTCCAACGCTTCCACCCTTTGGGCATCTCCAGAACGATGCCAAGATTGCATTAGCGTCCTTTCTTTTCCGATGGGCCCCCCAGGGCCTCGAGATGACCCTAAGCGGATTCCACATGGCCCCAAGAGAAGTCATTATGGACCCCTACACGACTCCCCAGCCCGAGTCGAGCGAGCCGCCAAGACCGCCAAAATGAGGGGTCGGCGGATGTGGCGTAAGCCTATAGAATCTTCGGGCAAGACGCCCGATTGGGCCCATGCCTGTTGGGCCCTTGCCCGAGCATTCCCTGGTGGACGGGGCCCGAGCCCTCGCCGCCGGGGCTTTCTGGGCCCAAGGGCCCGTGTTTGGGCCGCGCCTTGCTTGCGGTCGGGGCCCGCGCCCTCGCCGCCGAGCTGGCCCCCCAAGCCCGTGCCTGGGTGGCTCCAGGCTTTTGGCTTCGCGGTCGGGGTCCGTGCCCTCGCCGCCGAGCCTCGCGGTCGGGGCCCGTGCCCTCGCCGCCCGGCTGGCCCCCCAGGCCCATGCCTGGGTTCGCCTGATGGTATCGCGGGCTCGCGGTCGGGGCCCGTGCCCTCGCCGCCGAACTGGCCCTGCAGGCCCGTGCCTGGGTGGCCATTGAGTTCGCGGTCGGGGCTCTTGCCCTCGCCGCCGGTCTCGCGCCCGCAAGCCCGTGCCTGGTCAGGTGCGCTGGTGGGCGGCCCTGGGCCCGTGCCCAAGGCGCGCTCGCGGTCGGAGCCCGTGCCCTCGCCGCCGAACATTCGCCCACGGTCGTCTTCGGAATCATGCCGTGCCTGCGCCGAAGGGCCCGTGCCCTGGCCTTCCTTCGGGGCCCGTGCCCCCCTGGCTCTCGGGAGGGGCCCGCGCCCCGTCTGCCCTGTGGCGTGCCGTGCCCGTGCCCTGGTTCACTCGCACACGTGGCCTGTGCCAAACACAACGGACGCGCACGCATGTAACACTGTCCTTGCTTGCGCACGCGCGCGAACACATGCGCATAATGCAGTTATCGTATGCGCTTTCACCATGCGTGCAACGCGCTGCGCGCGTGGCACGCGGAGTCAAAATTTTCGGCGCCTGCGGCGGGCAGTTTTTGATTTCTATCCAAGTGAAGGTGGAGAGCCCGCGACCCACCCGCGACTCAAACTACGTTCACTGAACAAGCCAAAACTTCGGCGCCTGCGGCGGGCTGTTTTTGCATTCGTCGCGTCGCCCTGCCGCGTCGCCCGCGCCCGCCCCCTCAGTGCTACGTATAGATACACAGTATCTAAGTGTATGCACGAGGCTGCATTGGCGCTTCGCGCCAAGCACCTTGGTCCGCGAAGTTTGGCATGCAAGCGGAAGGCCAATACACTCAAACATACATCTTGGCGATCACTCCTTGTTGTGTGCTTCTAGGGTCGCAAGGGTAATACTGTTTTTCGCTATCCCGTCATATTTCCTCTTCCTCTTCCTTATTCTCGGCCTACCATGCGAATTCTCCCCCATCCTCCGCAGCTCATTTTGTAGAGGTTCCTCTTGGAGAGCCTCTCGGGGAGCTCACTGCAGTTAAAAGTTTTTAGCTTCTTGGGGTCTTCTGGAGGCCTCGTGGGCGCCTTCTAGGGGTTTCCTCGGGCCACCCTGCTTCCAACTGCGGTCTCCTTGACCGACCGGGTCACAATTTGGAATGCTTCGGGGGGGCGTCTTGTGAGCATCTTAGGCCGTCATGGGGCTCTCTTCGGGCCATTTTTGAACCCCGTTGGACCGTCTTGGAGTTCACTTGGACTGCCTGGACGCTCTTCTGGGTAATTGTTGGGCGATGTTCAGGCATCCTGGGCGGTCTTGAACGCCCAGAAGACGGAAGGAGAAAGCATTCCCAAACTCATGCAAAAACCTCTAGAGTATCACATTGTATGGCGTTTCAAAAGCGATCTTGAATTTTTCTTCGAGTCGTCTTCGGCCGTCTGGTGGGTGCCTGGGGCCTCTGGGGCTCTTGCGGGGCCGTTCGGCAGCCCTCCTGACCGATTTGGGCCCGTTGCCTAAGCCAAGCAGGCCAGGAGCCCCGGAAAGCCCACGGGACCTTCTGCAAGGACGACCAGGGGACGCCCCTGGGGCCACGGAGCCGAGGGTTTCGTTTATTTGGGGGGGAGGGGGTCCCCACCCCCCCGACTATCAAAATACAAGCAGAAGGAAATATGACACAGAAATCCTGGGCCCAGGACGGGCCTGGCCAGGATCGGTGTATAGGCACCGTTCTCTCCGCTCGACTCTCCCCCGCCGGCGAGGACCTGCTCGGAGCTGCCTTGGCAGGGCAGGGCGCAGCCGCGGGGAGGAGGGCGGCGCCTGCGCCGCGGCCGCAGCAGAGTGGTGCTCCCGCAGGACCTCGTCCAGGTCCTCTGTGCGGGCGCGCTGCCGCGGCCGAAGGAGCTCTGTGTCACACACGCAGAAGTAGACACGAATCCCAGGATGCCAAGTATTTTTTATTATATCCGGGTTTCCCCCCCCCCCCCCCCCACACACTTTCCATAGTTCCAAATATTTCCCCATCATTTCCATTGCTTTCCCCCCCCCACACACTTTCCACAGTTTCAAATATTTCCTGGGGATCGACGATTGTTTGTGTCTGTGCGTTTTTGCTACCCTCCCGAGCGGCGCAGGCAATCGGCGGCCCACGCCGGCGCTCGGCGGCAGTCGCAGGCCGTGGGAGGCCCTCGGAGGCCCTCGCCGGTGCGCGCGCGCGCGCCACGGCCTCTGCGCCGCCGCGCGGCCCGCAACCGCCGCACGCTTCGCACCGCACTCGCGCAGCGCTGGTGCCGTGATGCCCTGGCGCTGCGCCCTCGTCGTCGACGTTGCCACCAAGGCCCACAATAACTGCGCTGCCTTTCGGGCTGGGCGGGCCCGTCGGACAACGGATCATCGCCTCGACTCCTCCTTCTCCTCATCCACCTTCTGCCGTCCACCCCCTCACCCTCCCTCTTGCATCACTCAATCTCATCATCATCATCATCATCATCATCATCATCATCATCATCATCATCATCATCATCATCATCATCAGCATCAGCATCAGCATCAGCATCAGCATCATCATCATCATCATCATCATCATCATCATCGTCATCATCATCATCACCAACTGCCGCAACAACAGCAGCATCAACATAACCGCAACCCTCCTTCCCGTCTCGCCTTCCCCCTCCTCCTCTTGGACACCTGGTCCCTCACCTGGGCAAGGCTGGCCGCGATGACCGAAACGAAATTGCACAAGGCGCTCGGCCCGCCCACACGTCAGCCGCGGAGGCATGGAATGCCGTTCGCATCCGCTCGCGGGCTGTCCCCTCAGAAGCGCCCCTCATGTCTGCCACTCGCGTTTGAGCAAAAGTGTCTGCACACCATAGGGGGAATCGAGGAAGAGACATAATACTTTCCCCGAACATGAAGGTCGGAGACAGCTATTCCCCCAGCAACGGGTCTACATCTCGTTAGCACAAAAACAATGCATTCCCCTGCGTGAAGGGGTCATCCGAAAACAACATGAAACCACGTTCCGACATATATGTACATATATACATATATAAGTATACATCTATGTGTGTATATATGTATACACGTGGGATAATGCTAGGAACAAACCGATTGGTGCTCCAAATCTGTGGATGTATTGGATGATCGAGGCTCTTCCCTCCCCCCTGGCGCCAACCCGCCGCGCCCCCTCCAAGCCGCGGGTCCTCCGCGTTACCGACGCCGGTGGCCAGCGCCACCTCTTCCGTGGGGGCGTGGCGCCCGCTCCGGGACGAGGCCGCACGACGCAAGGAAGGATGCTGGCGGCACCCAGGCGGTGAGGTGACCACACCGTGCGTCGACGACTCCGAAGGGTGTGGTTTGCAAAGGGTGTGGGTTGCGACCTGCGCCTGGGGGGCGGGCGAGGACCTCGACAGAGATCCCAGCTGCGCCCCCGAACAGGGCCCATCGGGCCTATGGCGCACCGTGGTGACCCCTACGCCCCAACGGCGCCGATCGCAAACCACACCCCAGAATCAGTACGCCCATTGTAGTCGCCGAGTGCAATGAATCTGTAGGCATCCGGGGCGATGGCACGGTTTTGGGACTTGGGTCGTTCTCCGAAGACGTCTCGGGCGACTGGGGCGTCCAAAGTCCCACAACCGTACGAGGACGGTGCGGTGAGCGGTGAGGTTTTAGAGGATTCCGAAGACACCGCACGGTCCGTCATCGCAACGTTTTGAGACCACCAAGAAGACCCCAAGACCCAGAGATGCGGCGGCACGAAGAAACCAGCACGGCCAGGTGCTCGCAGTCTCGGTCCGCCTTGGGTGCGCCGATGAGGGGGGGCGGTCACGTGGCGCAGTGTGGCCCGAGGCGTGGGCGCGGACGAGGGGGAGATGGAGGCCAGGGGGCGGAGCGGAAGAGAGAACGAGGGGTCCACGCCAGTCGGGAGCTTTCGTGGCCGTGGCTTTTCTGGATGCCAGCCCACTCCTCCCCGAAATCCCCAACTAGATGCCAGCCCACTCCTCCTCACTTCTGGATGCCAGCCCACTCCTCCTCCTCCTCCTCCGTGGCTTCTGGATTTCGTGGCCGTGTCACCCCACCCTCGTCGGACGCCCCTGGCCTCTGGACGCCGGCCCCGGCCCCCAGGACCGTCAGACGATGGCTCGGGGCAGCAGCACGCTTCCAGGAGAGTGGTCGAGCGGTCCGGGGGCCCGTGCCTCGAACAACTCGCGCCGATCTCTGGCAGCTTGCGCGCGTGATGGCCGGCGTCTCTTCTGGCGGCCTTCGTGTTCGGGGGCCGGGGGAAGGCTGGAGGAAGCGAGAGGGAGGAGGAGGAGGAGGAGGAGGAGGAGGAGGAGGAGGAGGAGGAGGAGGAGGAGGAGGAGGTGGAAGTAAGAGGGAGGAGGATGAGGATAGTGGAGTGCTTGTCTCGCAGCCTGCGAGACTGCCTGGAGAACGGGAGCCTCCCCCCCTCTGAGGGGCAACGATAGGGGGGACTGGCTCGGGGGGGGACATCGGGTCTTCGGGTAAGAACTCGGCTCTCCGACGGCCGTTCGGGACCATCCGGGCACCCCGGAACGCCTCTCGGCGAGGCGCAGCTGTTGAAAGGCACCCCGAGGCCGAAAAGCCGCCGAGAACATACGACAACGCCCAAAAACCCGATCGAGTCGAACAGAATCGGGATCGCAACCTCAACTGACAACGTTCCACAGCCTAGATCTGAGAAGCGGCCCAGGCACCAAAGCCCATCCTGAGCATAATGTGTTTTTGTTTCAGCGTCTTGACTTCATGTGGATGACGACGCCGAGGAGGAGGACGGCAACAACGAGGATGAGGACTGTGTGTCGGATGGGGACGACGAGGAGGGCGAGGAAGATGAGGATGCTGAGGCCGACGAATTATGCCAAGGATTTCGAAGCGGACCCCGACGTAGCGACGAGCCCCCCCCTTCATAAGCCGCCCTAAAAAAACAAAGTCACATCGATTCCTTCTTCTCCTCCTCGTCGTCCTCCTCCTCCTTTCCAACCTCCTCCTTTGATCCTCCCTTTTCCTGGTCATTCTCCCTTCCCCCATCCACCCTCCTCCTCCCCCGCCCTCATTCCCTTTCGCCCTCCTCCCTCTATCGTCCTCGGAGCGTTCGTCCTCGTGGTCATCCATTGCGTCGTCAACTGCTTGGAATAACTATTACGCTGATTATGATTCCTCCTCCTCCTCCTCCTCCTGCTCGTCGTCGTCATACACCAACTTCTCCCCTTTCTCTTTCTCATCCTCTTCCTCCTTCTCCTCCTCCTCCTCCTTCTCCTTTTGATCCCCTCCCTCTTCGCCTCCTCCTTGTCCTCCTCCTACTCCTCCTCCTGCTCGTCCTCCTACTCCTCCGCCTCATCCTCCATCCCCTCCTTCTCCTCCTCCTCCGTCTTTTTCCTGACACTGCTGCTCAGAGGCTCAGGCCCTCCTCCCCTCCTCCCCTCCTCCCCTCTAGGGCTCCCAACTTCGCGCTTCGCGCTGCGCGAAGCGCGAAGCGCGAATAACTTCGCGCTCTCGCGCCGCCCTCCCAAAGGGAGAAGAGGAGGACGAGGAGGAGGGGGAGAAGGAACGAGGACCGCGAAGCGCGAATAACTTCGCGCCCTCGAGGGAGCCCTTGTGTATCCCTCCGCCACCCCCTCCTGCCGCTCGCTGGCGCTGCCGCCGCTGCGTCCGACGTCGTCCGGCGTCGCCGTCGACGTCGCCGTCGCCGCCAGCGTCGCCGTCGCCGCTGGGCGTCCCCGTCGCTGTCGGCGGACGTCGCCGCCGTCGGCGCCGCCCGAGTCGTCGTGGCCCCGTGGGCAGCGGGCGCCGCCGAAAGGAGCCATCCCGCGAATCGGTGGGGAGGGAGAGGAGGGGTGTGCGAGGGACGGGGGCGAAGGAGGAGGAGGAGCAGGAGGCGCTGCTGCTGCTGCGGCTGCTGATGGCGATGGTGATGATGATGGTGATGATGCTGATGATGATGATGATGATGATGATGATGATGCCGATGATGATGATGCTGCTGCTGCTGATGATGATGCCACTGATGAATATGGTGATGATGATGGTACTGATGATGCGGCTGAGGCCGATAGTCATGTTACGTTTTATGATTGTGGTGATGATACTGCTGCTGATACTGATGCTGATGCTACTGATAATGACGATGACGAAGATTGTGGTGATGATGTCGGTAATGGTGATGATGGTGCTGATGATGATGTTGACGATGATGTTGATGCTGATTGTGATTATGATGAGGATGCTGCTGGTGATGATGATGATGATGATGATGATGATGATACTGGTAAATCTGATGATGATGATGATGATGATGATGACGACGTGGATGCGAATGAGGAGTATGATGATGATGTTGTTGATGATGTCGATCGGTATGTCGTTGGTGATGATGATGATGGTGATGATGATGATGATGATGATGGTACTGCCATGGATGTTGACCATGGCATGCTGATCATGATGATGCTGATGCTGATGATGCTGATGCTGACGATGCTGATGCTGAGGACGATGTTGCTGCTGCTGATACTGGTGATGACGATGCTGGTGATGCTGATGCGGACGATGAAGAGGATGCGTATGATGATGATGATGATGATGATGATGGTGGTGGTGATGATGATGATGATACTATGATGGAGGTGGTGACAATGATGGTGATGATCATGAGGATGATGCTGAAAATGGTGATGATGCTGATGGTGATGATGATCATGATGATAATGATGATGATGGTGATGATGATTATGATCATGACGCTGATGATGACGATGAGGATGACAGGATGGTGGTGCTGATGATGAGTATGATGATGATGATGGTGGCGATGATGATGAGGCCAACGAGCATGATGTTGGCGCTGATGGTAATGATGACCCTAACAATGATAATGATGATGCTGATGGTGGTGACGATCTGATGATGCTGACGATGTCGATGATGATGAGGATGACGATGGTGATGCTGATGATGATGGTGCTGGTGCTGCTGATGATGACGATGATGATGATGATGGTGGTACTTATGGAGAGGCTGATGCTGATGATGCTTGTGGAGATGTTGATGATGATGATAATGATAATGATACGGATGATGATAATGATGATGATAATGATGATGCTTATGCTAATGATGCTGAAGATGCTGATGCCGATGCTGGTGGTGATAATGATGGTGGTGATGATGATGAGGAGGCGGAGCAAGAGGAAGAGGAGTGAGGGAGAGGAAGAACTGGATGAGGGGAGTGGAGACGAGGGAGGGAGTGAGAGATGGGGGAGGAGGGAGTGGGAGGAAGCATGAGGGGGGGAAGGGGGGAGGGCACCACCTGCGCGAAGCTCGCTCTGAGCAGCAGAGCGGAACCATCCCCGAGGTGCGTGGGCACCCCGCCGACGAAGCCGCGGCCTCGAGGCGGCGGCGAGGAGAAAGAAGAGGAGAGGTGAGGATGAGGATGAAATGAAGAATGAATCCCACCAGCCTTTTACGGCGTGTGTGGTATAAAGGGGGTTCCTCTTCCAACCCCCGTTCTGTCCCTTCGGGGAAGGGCTTACCCCTGCCGCTTCCCCCTCCCGCTGGGTCTGGAGAGGGGGGGGGGGTCGCGACCGGTGGAGGCGTCCGAAAAGATCTCAGCGAGAAGGCACACACCATTGATGATACCAAGGTTGTGGGCCCGTGTTTGGCCCTCTGGGAGGGGTAATTTACTACTCCCCCCCCCACCCCTTGTTTGATCGATCTCCTCCAAGATGGCCCAAAGGTGGCCCCCGGGGCTCCCAAGGGTGTCCCAAGAAGTGCCCAGGAGACCCCCAGAAGATACAAAGAGACACCCAAGAGGCTCCCGAGAGGCTCCCGAGGCCGCCAAGATGCCCCAGGAAGCCCCAAGAGGACTCCAAGAAGCTCTCAAGAGAACCCCGACGAGACTCCGAGAGGCATCCAAGAGGCCTCTGGTTTCTGCTCGCCCTCCCCTTCCTGCTTCTCCTCCTCCTTTTCCTCATCCGCCTATTCCTCCCTCCTCCCTCCTCCCCCTCCCCCTTCACTACTCCTCTTCGTCCGATTCCTCCTCCACTCTCACCCTCTTGGGGTATATGTCATAGCCAGTTACTCCACTGCGTGATCCTTCACATCCCTGATCAGAGCAACTAGTATGGGCGTTGTGTCTGGATTGGCTGGTGGGGTTACGCGAATCGTCTACAATGGAGGAGAGGATCATCATGCCGATGCCGATACCGATGCCGATGCCGATGCTGCTGCTGCTGCTGATGACGACGCGGATGCGAATGCTGCTTATGATGCTGGTGATGCTGATCATGCTGATGCTGAAGATGACGATGGTGCTAATGATGTCGATGATGATGATGACGATGCTGCTGATGATGATGGCAGTGATGATGATGATGAGGATGCTGATGATGATGATGGTGCTGATGATGGTGGTGATAGTGATGACGATGGTGCTGATGCTGATGATGACGATGGTGCTGCGAATGGTGGTAATGATGGTGCTGGTAATGATGATGCTGCTGATGATGCTGGTGCCCATGATGCCGTTGATGATGATGGTGGTGATGGTGATGGTGATGGTGATGATGATGATGATGATGATGATGATGATGATGATGCTGTTGCTGCTGATGATGATGCTGGTGGTGTTGGTGTTGCTGGTGTTGTTGGTGAAGGTGACTTATGATTATGATGAGGATGATGATGGTGATGTTGATGAGGATGATGCTGATGCTGATGCTGCTGATGCTGATGATAATGACGATGATGATGATGCTGATGATGATGATGATGATGCTGATGATGATGATGATGAGACGGAGGAGCAGGAGAAGGAGGCGGAACTATTGAGAAAGGAACGAACAATGAATGAGGAATGAAGGGAAGACGAACTCTTACTGAGGAAATCAAGCACGGGGGAAGAGGAGGAGAAATATAACGACGGCGAGGAGGAGGATGAATGAAGGACCACCGGAAGGCTGGGGCGAGGAGGGAGGCGGAGGAGGAGGAAAAGGAGGAGGAGGAGGTGGAGGAGGAGCGAAGCGTACGACAAGGAGGAGGAGGAGGGAGTGGAAGGCTGGCGTTGCTTGGGGGGACGTCTTCTGGGGTGGAGGGGTCGCGCGTCGCGGCCCCCGGCTGGAGGGGAAGGGGGGCAGCGAGGGAGGCAGAGGGAAGGGAGCGATGGGAACGAGGGATGAGAGGAGCAAGCGATGGGGCAGCGATGGGAACGAGGGAAGGGGGGCAGCGAGGGGGCGAGCGATGGGAGCAAGCGATGGAGCAAGCGATGGGGCTGGAGGGGAAGGGGGGCAGCGAGGGGGCGAGCGATGGGAACGAGGGAAGGGGGGCAGCGAGGGAGGGATCGAGGAGAGAGGATGAGAGATGGGAACGAGGGATGAGGATGGGAGATGAGAGGAGGGATCGAGGACGAGGGAGGGAAGGGAGCGATGGGGGAGAAGGGGGGGGGGGATCGAGGAGAGAGGGGGGAGGGTTCGAAGGGGAAAGAGGTCGCCGAGGAGAAGGGAGGCAGGAGGGCAGGCGAGAAACCAATACTGTCGGACCTGGGAGAGAACAACCTCCTTCAAGAGCACGACACCCTCCGCCGGCCAAAACACACAGAACACCCAAGGGTACCCTCCCCAAGACGCACAAGAGCATCCAACAAACACGAAACATACGAGGGTACTCTCCCCGAACCGACCTCGATCTCATACCTCGGTCCGACTGCAGGAGAGAGGGGGAGCGGGAGGGCCCATCGAGAAAGAAGCTCGCCAGCGACGGCGACGGCGGCGGCTGGCCGTCCCCTCTTGACGGCGGCGGCGGGCCACGCCAGACGCAACGACGACCGCGGCCACGAACGACAGCGCGGCGCCGCCCTCCGACGGCCGACGCCCCACGCCGACGGGCGCCGACCGCGGACGACCGTCGCCAACCCCCGCCGACGCCGTCGCTCGCCGACGACCGCGCCGGCGGCGGTGTCCGACACCACCGCCGCCACGGCCGTGGACGCCGCGGGCAGCGGCGGCGCGGCCGCCGGGCCAGCGGCATCAGCCGCGAGGTCTTGGGGAGAAAACCATACCTCTCCAGGGGTGCGTTCTGACCAGGATAGCGACGAGGGAGGGAGTAGCGATAGATCCAGCATGGCCTCCTACAGGCGGATGTTGTAAGAAGAATGAGAATCGTCAAACAAGAATCAAAAGTAGTCAAAACAGAGCCCAGAAAAATCGTCGCCATACTATTTACATACTACTCTTGAGGGACATGCCCGGCTTAAGTGTAGCGGCATGGGTGCCTCTTCCTCCTCGGAGTCCTCGCGATAGCAGGCGGTGCTTCAAGAGGCCCAAGTCGGGCCGCATGGCAGGGCATCGCCATACAGGTGCAGGCCATGATCGATCATCGCAGGCCCCTGGCAGTGTCACCTCCGCTTCTGATGGTCGGCGGCCGTGGGCCGGCGGCGCCGCCCGAGGTCGTCGCCGGCGAGCCCGTGGCCGTCCGGCGGCGGGGTCCGCGGCGGCGGCGGCGGCCTCGGAGCCCGCGCGCGTGGAGCGTGGCGCGGCGGATGCCCTCGCCGAGCCCCTCGTCGGGGGGCTCGGGGGGCAGCGCGCTGCGGGGGGCGAGCTCGGCGCTCTCAGGGCCCAGCAACACGACCTCGGGTGGGGGAGGGCGGTGGCGAGGGCGATGGCGGCCTCCTCCTCTTCCTCCTCCTCCTCCTCCTTCCTCCTTTCTCCTCCCTTCCTTCCTCCCTTCCTTCCTCCTTCCTCCCCGCCTCCTTGATGCTCAGATGCAGAAAGTAGTCGTGCAATGGGGCGCGCGGGTGCTTGCTCATGCAGGTCCCGTGAGTTTCCAAGTGTAGTTGATTGGCTTGTTTTCCACCACCACCACCATAAGTTGGAGGGGGAGGGGGTCCTCCTCCTCCTCTTCTTCGTCCTCCTTCTCCTCGTCCTCCTCCTCCTCCCCCCTCCAACTTATGGTGGTGGTGGTGGAAAACACGCCCATCAGTAGCAGCAGTGCGAGCGAGAGGTCCATCCGTGGTCATGGGGCCCGAGGGGTCGGACTCGGCAGAGGCAGGAACAATGCCCGCTTCCGATCGTCCTCCTCCTCCTCCTCCTCCCCCTCCTCCTCCTCCTCCTCCTCCTCCTCCTCCGCCTCCTCCTCCTCCTCCTCCTCCTCCTCCTCCTCCTCCTTCTCCTCCTCCCTCCTCCTCCCTCCTCCTCCCTCCTCCTCCCTCCTCCTCCCTCCTCCTCCTTCCTTCTCCTCCCCCCCGCCCCAGCCCTGAGGGGGGCGTTTGCCCGAGCGAGGGACAGCCTGGGTGCCGAGCGAGGGACAACCAGTGTGTAAAACGGAGGTTGGGGGGTGAGATCGAAGTGTAACGGAGAGCCCTCCAGCGGGAGATCAGTTTCGGTTTTGAGTTCGTTTCGCGCGCGCGTGCGAGGCGAAGCCTCGTGGGAGGGCAAGAAGGATGTCTCCGCTGTGGCTAGGGTGGGTCAGAACCGTTGGCCGCCACTCCTCCCTTCCCGGTGGGCGGGCGGTGGCCGGGCTGTCCCGCCCTGGTGTACCGTCGCTGTCCGCTTCTCCCCCGCGGTGGGCGGGCGGTGGCCTGGTTGTCCACCGTGGTGTTCCATCGGTGTCCCGGCGGTGTTCCGTGGCTGTCCAGTCGCTGTCCCGTCGGTGTCCTGTCGGTGTCGCGTCGGTGTCCCGTCGGTGTCTCCGTCGGTGTCTCGTCGGCGTCCCCGTCGGTGTCCCGTCGGTGTCCCCGTCGGTGTCTCGCTGGTGTACCGTCGGTGTTCCGTCGGTGTCCCTTGGTGAGATCGATAGTGATGTCGATAGTGAGATCGAGCGAGTGAGATCGATAGTAAGACCAATGGTGCGATCGATTGTGAGATCGAAACTGAGATCGGTTGGTGCCCCGATGTTGTCCCGATGGTGTCCCGTGGTGTCCCGTCGATGTTCCGCGGGTGCCCCGTCGGTGTCCTGTGTTCCGTGGTGAGATCGATGGTGAAAACAATAGTGAAATCGATAGTGACATCGGTAGTGAGATCGATGGTGAGATCGATCGAATGAGATCGATCGAGTGAGATTGATAATGAGATCGAGCGAGTGAGATCGATAGGGAGATCGAAACTGAGATCGATTGGTGTCCCGATAGTGTCCCGATGGTATGCCGATGGTGTCCCGTCGGTGTCCCCATCGGTGTCCCGCGGGTGTCCCGTCAATGTCCCTTCGGTGCCCCGTCGGAATCCCGTCGGTGTCCGGTGGTGAGACCGATATTGAGACCAATAGTGAGGGCGATAGTGAGATCGGTAGTGAGATCGATAGCGGGATCAATAGTGATATCTGGAATGGGATCAAAGTGAGATCGATAGAGTGAGAGCGATTGTATGATCGATCGGGTGAGACCGATAGTGCTATCGATAATGGGATCGACAATGAGATCAAAAATGAGATCGATGGTGACTTGATGGTGTCCTGACTGGTGCCTCGGTTGGTGTCCCGATTGGTGTCCTGATGGTGTTTCGATGGTGTCTCGGTGGTGTTCTGGTGCTGTCCCGATTGGTGTCAGGTGCCCCGAATGGTGTCCCGATTGGTGTCCCGATTGGTGTCCCGATGGGTGTCCTGATGGTGTGTCTCGATAGTGTCCTGCTGGTGTCCATAGTGAGACATGGGGGGATCGCAGGGAATCCGATACGCCAAAAGTTTTTCAATGTCAACATCACTGGCCACGGGATCGATTGTGATATCCAACGGATGATGTCCCGTCGGTGCCCCGTCGGTATCCCGATTGGTGTCCCGTCGGTGTCCCGGTTGGTGTCCCGATTGGAGTCCCGATTGGTGTCCTGATGGCGTCCGATAGGCAAACGCACACACACAACACACACAGACACAGACACAGACACAGACACACACACACACAATCACACACAATCACAATCACAATCTCAATCACAATCACAATCACACACACACACACACGCACACACACACACACATCCGGCAAGGCGATTTGACTTGTGGCCGCGAGCGTCCCTAGGTAAACTGAATGACACCACGAACGTTGGGATGAAGAAACCCGAATTCTAAACTTGGGCGGATTCGATAATGTTGGTAATATCAGCGAGAACGAAATCGAGACTGGTACCGATTATGACTGAGATGGAGTGAAATCGACAACAAAATAAATGGATAATTGGATAGATTGTGTGACCGACTGCGTGATCGATAATGGGGTACGCCTCATGTCCCGTCGGTGTCCCGTCGGCACCCCGTCGGTGCCCTGTCTGTCCCGTCGGTGTCCGTCGGTGTCCCGTCGGTGTCCCGTGGTGTCCCGTCGGTGTCCCGTCGGCGTCCCATTGCCATCCCGCATTGTCGTCAACATCGTCTTCTGGCATCGTCGCCAACCCGTGAAAGCATCATCAGCATCGCCAACATCACAGTCATCGCAGTTGTCCTCAGTTGATTCTTTCCCACTCATCCCTTTTTATCACCCGAAGAATGCTCGTGTAGGAAGTTAACACTATGCGGTGTACGCTAGGTGATATAAGCTACGTATGTTGTGCAACACACACACGCGTGTAATACATTAATATATATATACATATATAGATGGGTAATTCTGTGTATATATATATAGACACATACACATATGTGTATGTATATATGGTGTGGGCTGGAGGTGGCAACTGTTCGGGATATGTTTAAAATGTGTAAGCTAGATCGCAAAACAACTCTTCGGTATTACATACGTTGCGGGAGTAATGCCGTGACAGCTATGCGGTGCACGCTGCGGGGCGTGAGCTCAGCGCACGGGGCGTCCACGAACGCCCACGATGCGGCACGGGCGGCAAGGTGATGCAACCTTGACGAAGCCACGGGGCGACCACGAGCGCTCACGCGCGCCCACGAAGGGGGCACGGTCGGCATCGTGGTGCCACCTCGGCGAACCCACCCCGCAAGGAGGAGGAGGAGGAGGAGGAGGAGGAGGAGGAGGAGGGAGGAGGAGGGAGGGAGGAGGGAGGGAGGAGGAGGAGGAGGAGGAGGAGGAGGAGGAGGAGGAGGAGGAGGAGGAGGAGGAGGAGCCCGCTGGCGCCCATGAGGAGGCACGGTCGGCAACGTGGCACATCCTTGGCGAGCCCGTCCCATCCGCCTCACCGTGCCCCCGTGGCACGTGGAGGCGTGGAAGAACCTGACCGGACAAGAACGGGCCGTTGGAAAACACTCCAAGAGCGATTCGAACACGACGTCGACGTCTTGGCGTTATCTTGGACTGTCTTGGCGTTATCTTGGACTGTCGTGGGGCTCTGGGTGCCTGATTGGGGCCCGTGGGGAGCATTTTGGGAGCCTCTTGGAGGCTTCTGTGACCCTCTTGGACTCAGGCGTCTCTCGAGGGTCTGTGGGGGCTCTCTTGGGCTGTCTTGGCGTTCTCTTGGACCGTTTTGGGGCTCTCTTGGCCAGTCCTGGGGCCTCTTCGCGCGCTCGGGGGGGCCTCTGGGCGCCTCTTGAGGGCCTCTTGGAGGTCTCTTGGGGCGTTTTGGGGGTCCCCTGGGGGCTCTCTTGGGCAGTTTTGAGGCCCTCCGGGAGCGACTCCAAGATAATGCCGGTTCGGAGTCCCCTCCGGAGCCGATTTTTCGAGGATGTCTCGAGCGAAACGGCCATTTTTCCGGAACCTGACCGGACAAGAACGGGAAGCGCAGTTTTTTATCCACCACGTGCGTCAGAGACCGTATTGGCGAGGACGTCAGAGAACATCCCTGTTGCGTTTCCTGGCTTCGGCGCCGTCTTGGAGGTATCTTGGACGCTCTTGGGGCTGTCGTAGCCTCTGGCCTCTCGTGGAAGAATGCCAAGGTTTGTCTGGTAGGGTTTCTGAACTCAAGTCCGCCGATCTGGCGTGTGAGCTTATGGGGTGGGGGTGACCGGGCTGGCTCGGCCGGGGTAGGGGACGGGGTCCGGAGGCGTGGGTTCCGGTGGCGTGCATGGGGCGGGGGTCTGGTCCCCCGTCCCGCCTGTGGACACGATGAATTGGGGGAAGAAGGGCGGGGGTCCCGGTGGCCGGGGTGGCTCTGCCGGGGTGAAGGGAGGGGAGGGAGGGGTCCGGTGGCGTGGAGGGGAGGGGGTCCAGACCCCCGTCCATCATTGCCGCTAATGCCTGAACCCCCCTTCCACGCGTTCCTGTTCGGGGATGGTGCGCTTCCCGCATGGCAGCTAACGATTGAATCCTCATTCCATGCGCGCCCGCTTGAAGATTATGCGCTTCCCGCATGGCTGTTAACTGCTAGACCCTTCATTCCACGCGCACCCTCTCGAGGATCCTGTACTTCCCGCGTTCCCGGGCGCTGTTCCTAAGCGCTCCAGGGCCTCCCGATACACGATCCCTCGTCAGAAACGGTGGATTTGTGCCCCGACAAGGCGGCCTGTGCAGGCAACCAAGAACAGAACGATGGCCCAATATGCCTCGAAGACGGCCAAAGATGACCCCACGGCGGCCGAATATTGATTCGAGACTGCCCAAGATGCCTCCAAGAAATGTTCTGACCTGAATTGAGCCCACCGCTGAAAACATCTCGATAGCAGTGCGGGACCTGCCAGCTTGCTCCGCTAATCAAAGGCGTCACCGCCTGCAAAGCTACAGGCCAATGGCACAAACATGGCATCACATGTGACCAACCACTGCGGTGGCAGACCTGGGTCAGGACACACGGGGCCAAGAACCCAGACGAGCGCGGGCAGCTCGGAGGGTATGGAAGGCACGGGGGAGAGCACAGCACCAGCCCAAAAGGCCAGCAGCCGCTGCACGAGTGGCCGAGCCAGCTGGGCTGGAAGCCGCCGCTGCAAACGCAGCGGCGGCAGAAGGGGAGAAAGTGAAGGGGCCCTGGGACACACAAATAAATGCACACAAATAAACAGATTCCCCATAATTTCCCACATTTTCGGGGTTTCTGTCTTCCCCCCCACTTCCCATATCTCCCCACATTTTCGGGGAGCCGACAAACAATTGTGCCTGTGTGTTTTTTCCCTCCTGAGAAAGGGGAGACTGCCGCCACAAGCCACAGTGCGAGTGCGTCGGGCGCGCTCGAGCCTCGAAGCAGGACGAGGAGGACGAGGAGGAGGAGGAGGAGGAGGAGGAGGAGGAGGAGGAGGAGGAGGAGGAGGGAGGAGGGGAGGGGGAGGAGGAGGAGGGGGAGGAGGAGGACGAGGAGGAGGAGGAGGAGGAGAGGGGAGGGGGAGGGGAGGAGGAGGAGGAGGAGGAGGGGGGAGGAGGAGGGCGACGTGCCTCCCCGCCACAGGCAGGACCCCCGAGGCCGAAGGCCCGAGCTCCGCGCGGCCGGAGAGGCAGTCCGCAGGCAGAGCAAGAGCTGCCCGTGCTGGACGCCACGGGCCGCACGGAGGAGGACGACAGTGGAGGAGAGGGAGGAGGGGGGGGGAGGAGGAGGAGGAGGAGGAGGAGGAGGAGGAGGAGGAGGAGGAGGAGGAAGAGGAGGAGGAGGAGGAGGGAGGGAGGGAGGGAGGGAGGGAGGGAGGGAGGGGGACGGACCCGCCCCACCCCAACATGAAGCCGCTTGCAGGCACGGCACGACGCCACGACTGCGGTTGCTTCCCCTCTCCCCCTCATTCCTTGCCTCCCTCCCCTTCCTGCCCTCCTGCTCCCTGCCTGCTGTCTCCGCCCAGCCCCTCTTCCGCCTGCCCGCCCGCCCCGCCGGCGCAGGCGGGAGGCCAGCGCGTTCGTCGTCGTCTGCCTGCGTCTCCCCTCATCTTCCCCATTTCCGCCGGGCAGCACAGCCTGCCTGGGACCAGCGTGGCGGTGCGTTGGTTGCAACTGCTGGGCCGCCCTGGGAAGAGCCCAGACGACCTAAAACAAACGCAAGAGGTGGCGGTGACCGAACGAGCTTCTTCATCATGATCATCATCGTCATCATCATCATCATCATCATCATCATCATCATCATCATCATCATCATCAACATCATCATCATGATTATCACCATTTCCATCACCATCACAATCACCATCATCGTCGTCGTAATCGTCGTCGACGGAATCGTCATCATCATCACCAGCATCACCAGCATCACCAGCATCATCATCATCATCATCATCATCATCGTTATCGTTATCTACATCGATATCACAATCATCATCATCGTCGCCGTCGCCATCAGCATGACCATCATCATCGTCATCATCGCCATCATCATCGCCATCAGCATCATCATCGTCGTCATCGTCGTATTCATCATCAACACCACCGACACCGACATCACAACCATCACCATCACCATCATCACCAACGCCATCACCATCACCATCATTATCAACATCATCATCATCAATATCATCATCACCACCGCCATCAGCTTCATCACCATCACCACCACCACAATCACCAACACCATCACCATCATTGCTAGTATTATCATTGTCGTCATCATCAGTCCATCAGCATCAGCATCAGCATCAGCATCAGCATCAGCATCAGCATCAGCATCATCATCATCATCATCATCATCATCATCATCATCATCATCATCATCATCATCGTCAACATCATCATCAACATCGTCATCATCTTCATCGCCACCGTCATATTATCATCATTACCCCGTATCATCCTCATAATCTCCATCATTACCCGATGCCCCTAAGAAAACGAAAACACTCAAGGGATAATAAAAACCCGGGGTCTCGGGGGAATACGGAAAGATGTGTCCCGGCAAGTCGCACGAGGGATGTCTGACGAGTACAGAGGAGGTCGTCGTCGTCGTCGTCGCACGAAGACGACGACGTCGACGACGACTACGACGACGAGGAGGATGTTTCCCGCAGTCGTTCTCGTTCGTGACTTGGGATAGCTGCAATGGTGAGAATCCAATAGCCCTCGCACACGTTCGTTACTTGCGGGAGCTGAAATAGTGAGAACCCCATTGCCATGCCACGGGTGTTTGATGATATTGCTGCCAAGCATAGAATATGGCAACTTCGATTCGTAACTTTCCCACGCGATGATAAAAATCGGCCTTGCCGCCCCTCTGCCCCAACCAACTCTGTCTTGGCCGGGGGGGATTGACTCTCAGGGGGGAAGGGGGGGTATGATTCATTATCCAGGGCTCGCGGTTACTCATCACAGCTCACCGAAGCCTGGACACACGAGGTGCCACACTTGAAGGCCTCCCGTGCCCCCTCGAACAGTCACCACCCAGAATGCTGGGCTGGCACGGGACTTGCCTCAGGAAGCTGGGTTGCCTACGAAATGCGAGCGCGGGCCTGTAAGTGCAACAACTCTTTCGGGGGAGAAGTAAGACCAATGGACCGCCGCTGCCGCCCGCCTCTCTCGTCGCCGCGGATATCGCCATCGCCGTGGCCGCTTGGCATGAAGGAACCGGTTCCTGAAATACGAAAACGGGTCCAGACTTTCATCACGGTCCCCGGGTCTAGGGAAACCTGCCGTTCGGGCACCCCGAGGACGCTCAGCGAGGCGCAGCTGCGGGAACAAATCCCGAGGCTGCAGGACCTCCAGACACCGCAGAAAACGTTCGAAAGCTGCCCCGTTCCTCCCAAGCGAGGCGCGCTCTCGCAGGCCCCGCCGCCCGTCGGTGGAGGGGCCTCCGCCTTGTTGCGGTGGAAGACGAAGGCGGGCAGGGCGCCCACGACGCTTGGGGCCTGCGGCGAGGCCGCCCGGAAGCGGGGGGGCAGCGGGAGTTCATATGAAGCCCCGCGCCCACGCCTCCTGAGCAGCTGGCTTTACAAAAGCGGCGGCGGGCGGAGGCGCTACTCTACCTTAGCAAGGGAAGTCAGAAGAGGGAGGATGGGGGGAGGACGGAGGGGAGGGAGGAAATAGAAAAAGAATGTTAATGATAATGTCAATGATGATCACAATGATAATGAGGATGTCGACTCGCGAAATGACATTACTGGATTTCGCCCACCACACCGTGTACTTGCCCACGGTGAAGCGGAACCACAAGACGAAACACATGAAGGTGAACGCGATGACCCGCGCACGCGAACATACTGACATCATACCTGGCCGGCAGCCGCGCAACTCCACTATGTTGAAACGAAAGTGACCCGATGCGGTCTGCGCAAGAGAAGCCACTGGTCACTGGACAACCCCAAAAACTCGGAACACAAAAAAACATAACAGTACCTAGCGAGATCGCCACCCCAACGCACATCTTCGTTCTGATACAAGCTGCGAACTTCAGTCCATCACGTTTGCCACAAAATCGGCTGAGTACCGAAGTGACGCGCATATAAACCTTCGAAGTACTTCAACATACGACCCACCAAGGATTCAAAGCCCCTGCGCATCACCAAAAGCTCCAGTTGAAACCTGTCACCGAAATCCGAACTGACCAATGAGATAACCACAGAAGCACCGAAAAACAGCGACTGGCAACCGCAGCCTGCCCGCCAAGGAAAACTTATCTGCAACGCAAAGGGCGGGTGGGTAAATGTACAACCAAGCTCCCCCCATAGCCCCAGTTGTCGCAAGGCCGGCACTGGTGCACGCGATGCCACCGAGATGCAACCATGTCCTTGAGAGGCGCCGCCCGCGGCTGTAGAATTGAAACAACTTCAAATCACAGGCCCCTGTCGTGCTGCTACCCAGCCGACTGCTGCTTGGCGACTTCGTGTGAAAAACAAATGCAAACGTCCGCATCACGGCCGTGTTTCGATTAGCATGCGGCTGGAGGACAAATGGCGCATCTCCGTCCCGTCCAAAGCGGAGCTCCTTGACTGCTGCGCACATGTTCCTGCATGATCTGCATGACCCTGCGTCCCTTCGCGAAATCGTGGATAGCAGCGTGCGTCCCAGCGTACCCGCCAAGGAAACGCAGGCTGACGGGTTCACGCTCGGTCGCCACTGGTGTCGCTGGAATCCGTTTCGAACCTACGTTCGCAAGAACACAGAGAACGCATGCACGAGCTAAAAACCCATCCCGCTCCGAGAGCGTTGCTGCAGTGTACAAGCTGACAAGCTTTAGCACAATGCCCCTGCCCACGAGCTGAGCAAGATCGATCGTGCCGTCCGTGCGGACCTTCGCAATCATATCATGCCCACCCTGAAGATGATCAACCAATTTATCAGGTCCGTGATTGTACTTTTTGGAAGGGGCCCTGGGGCACAACCACGGCCGTGGCCCCTTCCTGTCTGGTCAAAATCTGTGAACAACACCTGATATGCTGTGTCGCCATCGTCGGCGATCTATGTTTTGCCTTGAATGTGTGAGTCTCTGAAAATCTTGGCATCATCTGCATCGGCATAAATCAATCCTCCTCCTCCTCCTCCTCCTCCTCCTCCTCCCTGCCCTTCCTTCTTCAAAACCGCATTCTCCTCCTCCTCCTCCTCCTGCCTGTCCTTCCTCCTTCAAAACCGCATTCTCCTCCTCCTCCTCCTCCTCCTCCTCCTCCTCCTCCCCCTCCTCTCTCCTCCTCCATCTCCATCCCTCTTCTCCTTCAAATCGTCTCGATCATACTCCTCCTCCGCCCCGACCCGCTGGACTTAGCGTTGTTCACCACATGACCCCCGAAACCTGGACATATTCCATGGCGGCCCTGGGTCCAACTACCGTCGCCGGGTATTGTGCGTGTGTGTGTGTGTGTGTGTGTGTGTGTGTGTGTGTGTGGGGGGGGAGCATTCTGTCGCAATTGTTTGAGGACGCCAAAGGTTTTGGGCCCAGCAACTGAGTTCCGCTGCGGCGCTGGTCCAGCCAGGGATGGGCAGGGGCTCGGAGCCGACGAAGGGGGGAGCGTAGCAATCCAGAGGCGCTGGTGCATCAAGGAGAAGGTCTGGCAGCGGAACTCAAACAAGCTGCACACTGCAAACGGCGTCGTCGCCCCCCCTTTTCCTAAGTGCCCTGAGGGGGATGGCTCAGCAGGGGATCATCGAGCTGGATTCGGCGATACGTCGCCGATAGATCGGCGAAAAAGCCCCCGATGGCACATCCGCGTGAACCCGGGTGGGGTGGGCCGTCAGGTCCTTGGCGGCGATCAGCGACTGGGCGTCGCCGCCCTCCCCCGGTGCCCAATCCCCCCTCCATAACGATGCCCCTGACCCCCCCTTTCAGACGGAGTGTTGCTGCTTACCCTCGCGCGCCATTTGCGCAAAGCTTGCAAGTGGTTGCCGGCCGAGGCCCAGTGACATTTTCCACGTATGCATGTGCACATTTCCTGCCGATGCGCCGTCTGGGCGCGGCTCTTTGTTGTTGTTGTTGACCCCCACTTTGCCCAGCTGGCCCTCCCCACACCCGCGTCCCGAGCGGGGGGGGGCCTGCCCCGCCAGACGCAGCTCCCGGGCCCAGCGCATCGCGCCGGCCACGAAGCGGCGCCTCGCCGCGATCGGCGGCGGCGCTGGCGGCGAGGGCCGCAGCCGGGCGTCGCCGCCGGCGGGCGGGGCGGGGCGGCGAGGACGACTACTGCCACAGTCGGGGCGTTGACCTAAGGAACCCTAAATAAGGAACGAGGCCCCTTTTTCCCAGAAGTTACGCTTCGATTTCCCATCGAAACCCTAAGCAAAACCAAAGGCGAACTGCAAGACAATTAAGGAACACCGAGCCCCTCCCCAACGAAAAGGGTTCCTTCCTCAGCGCCCCGACTGTACGAGGGCGGCGACGGCGACGTCGAAGGCGTCGGCGACGACCGCGACAGCGGCGACGAGGGCGGCGACGACGGCGGCGGCGCCGCTCACGGCGGCGGCGGGCGACGGCGGCGGCAACGGCGAGGGCGAGATCCAACGGCAGCGGCGGCGGCAGTCGAGGGGATCTCGGCGGCACCGCGGAAGGCCGCCACTCTGCGGGGCACGCTCGCGCGCGGGCGCGGAGGGGCAGGCAGGGCTGAGGGAGGCAGCGGGCAGCGGGTGGCAGCATCGGATCGGGAAGCCGGGTCGAAGCGTATTGTGCGTCGGATCGGGCCGCATTGGCACAGAGTCGAGATCAAATCCGATCGGATCGGCAGCATCAGCTTGCACCACAGGGGCATGCAAGCATCGGTCTGCTTCGGATCGTTGAAGATCGGACTCGGACTGGGCCAGACCGATTGTATCGAAACGGATTCTGTCTAGAGGGAGACTGCGCCACGAAAATCGAATACACAGACATCCGCTGGGAAAACTTCCTGCGCCTTCAGAGGACGGTGCCGGTGTACTAAGCTGGTGGCTCTCATCGGTGATCTACACACCAGCACTTTCCCCCGAGACCCAAACGCACTTCACTCTGGGGAGGTTAGAGTCTATTGAACCGAGGATCGAGATTTTGGGACGAAGCTCGACATTGGTGGCGCGTTTCTGGACCTGTTTGGAGAGCGTCGGAGAGCCCCAGACGCCCAACGGGACCAGGCATCCTGAAACCCACATCGGGTCCACATCTTACCATTTGAGCGGCCCCTGGCCACAGCAGGAGACCGCATGCACCAGGATCTGGCCCGCACTGGGCCTGTGAATGCCCTCTTCTTCCTGGCAAACGCCTGAAGTTTCGGTCGCGCAGCTTTAGTCCGGCGGTCCCTGTTGAAAGCGAGCATCTTGCTAAGCAATCAGATCAATATCACTCGGCCCTCTCCGTCCCAGCTATCTGCTAGGACTCAGCGGGTGAATACCTGCCTTGTGGCACTGTGGTGAATGCTTTCCCTTTTCCCCATGATGGGTAGCGCGAGGGGAGCGACATTGAAAGAAGGCAGGGAGGCTTCCAAGAGAGCAGGTGGCTTCTCAGACACCCTCTCGGCTTCTAAGAAGCCACCCTGGAGGGCCACACCCTGCGAAATGCTTAAGAAATCATGGGTGAAGAAATTCATAGTCTCAGAATTTGATATGAAAGCAAAGCTTCCATTGAAAGTTTAGGATTTACATTGAAATATTCAGAATCATCGAGACTCTGGCCGAAAACGTAAGTTTTCTTAAGCATCGCCTAAGGTGCATCTCAGAAGACCACAGACCCTCGCAAGGTGGCCTTCGCCTTCCAGGAAGCCCACCGCCGTCTCGGAGGGCCCTCCCCCCCCCATGGCGGCGCCCGGCTGTGACCGCCGCCCCGAATGGGCGGGATGGGAAATTCGGATCGGACGCGCTTCAGACGCCCGGAATGGGTGCGGAAAAACTGGTACGATGCCCAACGGCCATGTTGTCCCAAACCGACAGCGGCCGCTGTCGGACAGGAGACTGTGACTCTGTCTCCAACGGATGGCGTATGCGGCGACGCCGACAAATGACTCTATTCAAAATGAGCAGGAACTGTTGCCGTTTATCGTCCCCACTCTCCACCTCCATCTTCTCCTCCTGCAAACTCCCTATTCTCCTCATTGCCGCTCCCAGTGCCTTCTTTTCATTCTCCTCCTCCTCCTCCTCCTCGCCCCACCTTCCTCCCTGCTGCATCCTTGCGCATCCCTCCTTCGCCGCCTCCTCTTCCTCCGCCCTCCCCCGCTCAAGCCCGCGCCCCCCCCCATCCCTGCGCGCGGGTAGCGGGAGGATGGGGAGGTGAAAAAACACATAGGGGGAAGAGGCGGGCGACACTGTCCCCCCTCCTGCCCCCTCGCCTCCCAGGACGATGGACGTCGATGGCGACAACCACCACGACCCCGACGACGCCGACGCCGACGAAGGGCTTGACGGCCTCGACGGCAACAACAACGACCTCGACCTCGACCGCGCCTTCGCCTCCGCCTTCGCCTTCGCCTTCGACTTCGGCAACGGTGACGACGACGACGGTGACGAAAACGGCGGCGCGGCACCCACGTCCGCCGAGCATCTCCTCCCAGTCCGCGGTGCTGGCCCCGTGGGACAACTGCCACACGCCCACCTCGGGGCAGCTGAGGGGTGATCGAGGATCGAAGATGGAGGCTCAAGAATCAGGGGTTCGAGGATTGAGGCTCTTGAGGCTCGAAGCTCAGGCTCGAGGAGTAGAGGTTCGATGCTCGAGGCCCGAGGCTTGATGATTGGGGCTCCAGGATCAGGGGTTCGAGGTTCGAGGCTCGATGATCGGTGTTATCGACGCTCGAGGCTCCAGGATCGGGGCTCGAATCTCACCAGCCCTCTGGGCGAAGGTGGGCTAGGGAATTTCCTCTTCTTCCAACCCCCTTTCTTCCCCTTTGGAAAAAAAGGGTTTACCACTGTTCCCTATTAATAAAAACCCCCTCCCCCAGGCGACTGGGGGCCAACCAGGGTCCATGACGACACCCCCCCACCATTCCTTTCAAAAAACAATGCAAACCACACTCTGCCTCCAAATTCGGAACATGCGCAGCCAACCCGATGCGCCCCCCCCCACCATCCCTGTCAAAAAACAATACGTAGTACACTTGACGGCGGCGGCGGCGGCTGCGGCGGCTGCGGCGGCGGCGGCGGCGGCGGCGGCGGCGGCGGTGGCGGCAGCGGCTGCGGCGGCGGTTTGGCAGCGGGGGGCGGCGGCGGCGGCGGCGGCGGCGGCGGCGGCGGCGGCGGCGGCGGCGGCGGCGGGCGGCGGCGCGGCGGCGGCGGCAGCGGCGGCGGCGGCGCGGCGGCGGCGGCGGCGGCGGCGGATTGGCCCCAGTAGCTGCCCATCCAAAGACGACTGCTGAATATGCCCAGGCTCGGGCCAGACTCGGGTGCTACGTATGTGTTGGGAGGGCGGGTGGGAGTGAACGAGACGGCTTGCGGGCGGGGAGGGGGTCTTGACCCCTCCCCCTACCCCCTCCCCTGGACCTGGGCGGGGGGGGAGCCGCGACGCGTTGGCGCGTCCAAAACGGCCTCGGCGAGGAGGCTCAAATTATTGGTTCTACTACGGCCTCCAAGGGGCCTCCAAGAGGCTCCCAAGAAACTCCCAAGAGGCCCCCGGAAGGCTTCAAATGGATCCCCGAGGCGCCCAAGATGCTCCCCCAGACGCTCCAGGAGGCCCCCCCAGGCACACAAGACGCCCAAGAGCCCCCCAGGACTGCCAAGAAACCCCCAAGACGTCCCAAGAGGCCACCAAGAAGCGCCCAAGCGATATCCCAAGAGGCCCCGAGAGGCATCCAAGAGACCTCTGGCCCTTTTGTTCGCCCTCCTCCTCCTGCTCCTCCTTCCTCCTTCCTACTCCTTCTCTTCCTCCTGGTCTGTAAATTGAGAGTTTACCTGCACCCCCCCCCGGCAGAGCCGCCCCCGGCAGAACCGCCCCCGGCGGACTTCCGAGGATATCCGAGTTCTGGGTGTTCCTCCTCCTCCTCCCTCCTCCTCCTCCTCTCCTCCTCCTCTCATCCTCATCCTCATCTCATCATCCTCATCCTCATCATCATCATCATCATCATCAATCATCATCTCATCATCATCATCATCATCAGCATCACATCAGCATCAGCATCATCATCATCATCATCATCATCATCATCATCATCATTATCATCATCATCATCATCACCATCACCATCAGCATCCATCATCACCATCATCACATCATCATCATCATCATCATCATCATCATCATCATCATCATCATCATCATCATCATCATCATCATCATCATCATCATCATCATCATCATCATCATCATCATGAGCATCATCATCATCATCATCATCATCATCATCATCATCATCATCAACATCATCATTATCACATCCGTCTTTCTTCTCCCCACTCCCTCATCCATCCATCCAGCCTCCTTCTTATTCTCCTCCTCCCTCCTTCGCACGGTTCGGCCGTCCACCTCTTTGCTCCCGCACTTCCCTGATCACCTCAACTCGCCTGGGCATTGTTTCTGGAAGGGCTGGTGGGGATATGCGAAACGTCTAGAATTTCTCTAGCGTGTCGTTGGCATCATCCCAACCTCCAGAAAACACGCAGGAGGCCTCTGGAAGGGCCTTCGAGGACCCATGGGCGAAACAACAATCCTCGCCAGTGGAATCTTCGATCTGGGCGTACGAAAGCTCGTCTTGAGCTCCGCTGTGCTGCAAGACACCGATCCACGGCTGGAAACAAGCTGATCGATACCTAGAACGGCCAGGGACCGATCTTACAGTCATCGACCTCGCCGTCGTCGAGGGAGACATCCCCTGCTCCTTCTCGATCATGCAGCCACAACTGGGGGAGCTGTGTTGCTGAACCCTCCGGGAATCTCAGCGTATCGACGACCTCTCGAGAGGGGTGTCGAAACCGATGAGCCCTTCACGGGAGATTCGAAACACAGCTCACCAAATTGTAGCGGGTCTGCCTCCTCCAAATCATTATCCTTTTCTGGCTTGCTCCTCCTCCTCCACCACCTCCTCCGCCTCTTCCTCTTCTTCTCCTCCCTCAACACACGTTCCACTGCGTGCGCGTGCGGAGGAGGAACACTGGCACACACGAACCACAGCCAGGACGGTGCAAACGACACGTAGCGGACGGGACTCTCTCTCTCTCTATTTTTGTGTCGTCTCTCTCTCTCTCGCGCGCTCTCTCTCTCTGTCTCTCTCTCCCTCTCCCTGTTTCGCTGAATATCTCTCATGCACATGCACATGCACATGCACACATACACAGACACACGCACACATGCGCGCGCACACGCGCATGCACAAACGCACGATTGCACTCATTCACTCGCACCCGTACGCATGCACGTGTCGCACACACAACATAGGCACCGCTCACAACACACGCACACACACACACGGACACGAACCTCATACACACAACGCACAAAACTGGATAGACTTGTTTGCACGAGATGCATGTTGTCTACGTCTTCCTTCCCAACTGTTGCCAAGCGGCCCCAACCCCGCGGTCTGGGTACCCTATTCCTGCCTGCCTGGCAGGGGAGGGTACTGGTGGCGGGGATGGGGGGCGCTTTGGGGGGGGCCCTTTGTCCTCAACTGGCGAGCCTGCGCCGGAGGAGCTGCCGGAGAGTCCCGCGCCAGAAATCCTGGCGGACCTCCGAAAGTTCACCTGTGTTTGTGCCGTGCGCTGCTGTTCGACTCTTGGGCTGCTGGCACTCGGAGGCCAAGCCTGCGCAGGCTCGAACCACAACAAAACCTCTGCTGGAGGTGCTTCGCCTCCTGGCCCAGGGCCCGCCAGAAACACCCAGGAATGGAAATCGATGCCTCCCAGATGGGGTCGGAGGATCGCGCCGCTTCGCCGATGCATCGGCGATGCATCGGCGATGTACTGGCGATGCGCCAGCGACGTCGGCGATGCATCCGCGCCGTCGGCGTGAAGGAAATCTGGCTCCACATCGAGCCGCATCGCCGATGAGTCGGCGATGCGTCGTGATCCTGCGACACCAATTGCTCGGACCCCATGTGGGAGCTCTCATGGAGAACGCGGCCCGAGGGGAAGGTCAGCGAGGGCCACAAGCAAGAACGACCTTTGGTGCGCGGCTCAGGAGGGCGCGCGTCGCGGGTGGGCCCCCCCCCCCCCGAGCTGCCCCCCTCGTGCCCGTGGCCCCGCCAGGAGCGCACCCCGAGGCCAGAGAGCCTGCGGGAGCCGACGAGAGCGTCCAGGCGGCCTCCGTCGGCGATGCCTCGGCGCCGCCGACCTGCCGCCGAAGCCGTCCACCGTCGAAGCCGCCGCGAGGAGAAAACTGCATAATCATAAACGTTCGACGGGCCGCGCGGTCTTCTCGCTTCTGCGCTGGAGATCCCCCCCTCCCTTGCGCACGTCGCGCAGCCAGGGGCGGCGCCGGAGGCGCCGCTAGGGGGGTCCAGCGCAGATCCAGGAAAACCGCGCGGCCCGTCGAGCGTGAATGTGTATGCAGTTGTTTGTTCTTCGAGCGACGTCGGCGATGCCTTGGCGCCGCCGAGACCGCCGACGAAGCCGCCGCGGAGGGCCCGATCGAGCGCGGGCCCCGCCAGGGAGGCAAGCGCGCACCTCCACGCGGGCGGGCAGCGTGCCGGGGGCCGGGAGCACCTCGGTGGCGTAGAGCGCGTTCAGGGCCTGCCGCGCGCGCGCGCCGTGGCGGCCGATTGGATGGCGAAGGCCTTCGGCTCAGACATCTGGGGCCTCGAAAAAATCAAGATGGAGGTTTTCATAATTGGCGGGCCCTCGGTGCCCTCACTTGGGGCCTCGGGACTGGCTCCCCGGGCCCCACCCGCTCCGGCCGCCTGAGGCCCCGCCGTCCTGTGCCCTGTCTCCCTAATGAAAGCTGTGCGTAGCCCGCCTAGCTTTTAGCGGAAGAGGTTCGCTCTCGCCCTGCAGATCGAAACTGTGTGAGCGAGTCTGAGTATAAGCAAGTCTGAATATGAGCGAGTCTGGGTGAGAGTGAGCCCGAGTACGGTTGATTTTGAGTGTGACGAGTGAGTCTGAGTGAGTATGAGGAGGTGTTGCTGAGACAGTCTGAGAATGAACACGCCTGAGTGGGAAGACGATTGGGAGGTGAGTGAGTGAGGCCTGTAGACGTCTAGGCAACACATGCCGAAAAGACAAGCCAGGGGGGGGGGGGCGAAACAGGCAAGCAGCCTGAGACATCCCCACGATCTGGGCGCGAACGGGCCCATGCAATATTTCCTGGCGGCTCCCCCGTGGAGTGCTGAAGCCAGCGCTTCGCCTGAGACATCCTCACAAAGTGCTCCGAAAGCAAAGGATGTTAGGCACTCAAACAAGCAATTCGCCAAAGACATCCCCACAACGGTGCGAACGGGCCCGTGCAACACTCCTTGGCGGCTCCCCCTTAGGAGTGCTGAAACCAGCGCCTCGCATCAGGCATCCTTACAAACTGCTCGGAAAGCAAAGGGTGCTGGGCACCCAAACAAGCAAACCATCTGAGACATCCCCACACTCTGGGCTCGAACGGGCCCGTGCTATAAGAGCAAAGGTAAATCACATAGGATTAGAGCCCCCAGGGGATGGGGCAACATATTGAGACATACGTGCGTGCAAAACACCAACGATTCGACCCTGAACGCAGACGAGCCTGGCCACCAAAACAAGAACACCGCTCGAGACATCCTCGCAATCTTGCCCCCCCTCCCCCGGGGGCGCGACCATCAGCGCCTCGCCGGAGACATCTTCAAGATATGTTCCGAACGCGGAAGATGTAAGGGGGCGATAAAACAAGCAAATCCCTTCGAGACGTCCCGTAATCTGGGTGCGAACGGAGGAGTGAGATACCGCCTGATGGCTCCCCCTTAGCTGTGCTAAAACCAGCGCCTCGCCCGATAGGCAAACCGCTCGAGGCTTCCTCTCAATCTGGGCCCCATGGGCTTGCGAAAACCAACGCCTCGCCAGATGCATCTTCAAACTCTGTTCCGAAAGCAAAGGATGTTGGGGCGGTGACACCAGGCACGCCGCTCGGAACATCTCCGTACTCTGGGCGCGAACGGAGGAGTGAGATACCCCCTGGCGACCACCCCCTGGGGGTGCCGAACCCAGCGCATCGCTGAAAACATCCTCAGAATCTGCTGCGAGATCGACCGTCGTG